AAGTCTTGTTATAGTAAGATAGCGTTTGGACATAGATTTAGTTGAAACTTGAAAAAATAATTTTTGAAGTAGTTTTGAAAAATAATTTTTGGAAGTTAAAATTATGTTTGGACATGCATTTTATTTGAAATTGTTTTGAAGTTTTGTGAGTGGGAGAACAATTTTCATCCAAAATCTACCCTAAACTAGATTTTGGGAACTTGAAAAATAATTTCAGAAATTTTTCAAAAATAGATCATTAATCTATGAACATACAATGTTTTCAAAAAAGATTTGAAAAAACACTACCAAAATGTTTGGCCAAACGGGGCCTAAGAAAGTTCAATTTCCCAATCAATTTCAAATAATGAGTTGGGTTTGGCAACATAGCTCTTTCATCTGAAGGATCAGGAGAAGAGGACAAAAGAGTATACTGTAGGCATTCATATTTTTTCAGCATGTCACGCCCCAACCTAGGTGAGGTGGACATGCACTTAATATTTTACGTACGTGAGCGACCTATTCTGTAAAACTAGTAAACGTACCACATTTTGCAACACCTACAATAAGAAAATTCCAAACACACTATATATATACACACACACGGGGGCCTGTAATACCTCATCCAACACAGACATTTGTCTAGCATATGGTAACTCACCACAAATACACATACGTCTACAAAAGCTTCTACGAACATCTGACAAACATAACATAGTCGGGACATGCCCATGATCTACCCATAAGACTATATATAAATCAAAACATAAGGACCTCTAGGATCGGATGCACTCCAGATGATACGGAGTCTACCGATCAACAATTGAAACTGAAATTATTTATTCTGGGGTCCGTCAAACTGCCTACCTGAACTTGTAGCATGAAATGCAACATCCATGACCAAAGGGATGTCAGTACGATATAATGTACCGTGTATGTTACGCAACTGAATAATCATAAATAAGTACTGTAATCAAATAAAAGAATGCCGAAAGAAGATAACTGGATAAAACAGGAGTCAAATAACTTGGAGATTAGAGGGTTTTTGATTCCCAATTGTGAATCAAAAACGACATTATTTACATGTGTATGAAATGGAATAAAAGGGTTTGTAAAAAATTACCAAGATGAAGAGAAACAAAATTATCTTTGCAAGTTTTTGAAAACTTAAAATTCAAACCATCTTTTGCTTTACAAATCTCCAAAGGCCTCTTCTCCGAAAGAGTTTGCATAAGGAAACAGGAAATTTGGTAAAAATGATACGACAATCAAGTTGAAATGAATGAACAGAGATTAGGTTATATTTAAAACTAGGCCAATAAAGGACCTTTTTAAAAGTAAATTTGGGACTAAGAACTACATCACCAATCAATTCCACATTTACCTTATATCCATTTGGTAATGAAACTAGAAAGGGATAAACTAAAGTTTTAGTATTGGTTAACTAGGATTTTATGTGATTTGTGGCTGCAGAATCTAGATTTATGAATTTACTATTTGGTTTTAAACATTCATATAAGTGATACTATGCTCAGTAGAAGTATAACAAGCCACAATACCTATAAAGTTAACAACTCCACCAGTCATGTTGATTCTTCTAGGACTCTCTCCTACGGTTCTAGTTTGGAAGTTCTTCAATAGATTAAGTAGTTGTCTATCATTGTTCCTTGGTTAGGCCGTGCAAATTTTGTCCTTGGTCCTAGAAACTCCCTTTTTTTTCTCCAACATTCACTCCATCACTTGGTGCTCCGAACACATTTGCTTTAATTTTCTTGCTTTATTGAATATGTTAAAGGTTTGTGTGTTATTAAACCTGTTGAGACTCTATGGATATCTATGAAGCTTGTAATATTTATCTCTAATGTGTCCAGGTATTTTAAAATTATTGCAAAGTAGACGACGCATGTTTGGATTATAATTTCCCCTTATGCCATTATTTCCAGTTGTGTTGTGATTGTAATTCGTTTTAAAAGAGCTATTTTCCGGTGCAATCGCATTTTGGGCAGTAGACTCCATCACAATCTGATTTTGAGGTTTTATCGCTCTCTGTTTTTCCTCCTGAATAAGAATTAAAAAGGCTTGTGCTAGGCTAGACAGTGGATTCATAGTCAAAATATTTCCCTTTATTACTGTGTATACTTCGTTCAAACCCATAAGGAATTGAATTAATCTCATGCCTTGCTCAGCCTTCTGCATATTTTCAGGAGCACCACAGGTACACTGAAAATGGCACTGAGCATGTGCATTCAAGGCGTTCAGCTTTTCTCGTAGCCTTGCCATTTTAGTGTAATATCCAATAATATTGAGAGCTTCTTGACTCAAATCATTAATTTCTTTCTGCTATTGGTACAGTTTTGCATATTCATTTTGAATATACCTATCTTTTAGTTCTTACGGAGTTCTTTAGCATCATTAACATATTGCAAACTATCTGCCAGATCCTTCAAAAGGGAATTTAACATCCACGAGGTTGCCATATCGTCAATGTTCCCACTGATAGTACCAGTTTTTGAAACTAATTTCTTGCACTTTACAATTATGGATCCTATTTTGCTCTTTAGAGATAGAGCTTTGAGTACTTCTCTTCTCCATGATCTGTATCCAGATCCATCAAAAGGCACTGACACCAACATAGCACCCGCACTCTTCGATGGATGCATATTCGTCGACTCCATCACATCATCATCTCCAGCCATGATTTGATACAAATTGTGCTAAATGTGAACTTTAATTAAAAAAATTGAACAATAATTCACGAATTTACGGAAAAACTCAAACTCGCAAAATACGATCTTAGATATCCAATCGAATGAAAACATAACAAAATTAGTACAAACTGACAAAGAGTTTGAATGAATATCAGAGCCTTAGCGCTGATACCATGTCAAACTTTGCAAATCACACACATAATTGAGCTTAGACTAAGACCTAAAGGCGGAAGCAAAGAAATGTGAGAAAAAGAGAATAAGAGAAACTTTCAAAATGGAGCAAAAATAATGAATAGCTCAATGATTAATATGTGCACAACCCTTATTAATAGAAGGCTCCAACTTATTCACCCGGCAACCAACTGCTCAGCCAATGCCACTGACTTCTACTAACAGACTAATTGACACAACTAACTACAACTGTACAACTAACACTCTAACTAAAAAATTACAATTAAATATAAACTATATAAATCTCAATAATATTTGTCCTCCCTTATACTACTCGAACAAAAAAGCCCCTACATTTACCTAAAGGTCCAATATACCCCTCTTCGCTAACTTCCATTTAACGTGGAAAAAAGTTATGCATGTGAAAAATTGTCAGAAACTCAATTATCTTCTTGCCTTATTTGGGTCAAATTTATTCATTTACTATTCGATTTGAAGCGATTTACCCTTCTACTATTCGAATATAAGCAATCCGTTTTCTTTTTCTTATATTTTTTGGTTTTATTTACAAAAATAAGCAGGTAAATAAAAATAGTAAAAGCTATTGGTTTCACACTAGTTGTCTTTCTATAGCCTTATTTTTTTTTTTTTAAGAAAATTAATTTTTTGGGTGTTAAATTTATTTTGTTATACATCAAATTTCATTGTCTGATCTCATCCAAAAAAAAGGATATGATTTTCTCTAATTTTTTCATCTTTGTTCTATGTGCACAACATATTTATTTTATTTACTTATAAGAATTTATTTTAATTAACATAACTATTATGTTCTTTTAGTCATTTTTTTCATCTCCCCATTTTCTTCTCTCTTTTTTCCGTCACCATTCACCAAGATCATTGTGCCATTCGAATTTGGCGTTTTGTTGTTCAAAATCTAGTTTTTCAACTCTCTTTAATTCCTCACAATATCGAGGTTCTTCTTTATAACTTGATTGTTTGAAACTTGACTTAATTTATTATCCAATTTTTGAAGATTTAAACTTATACATAATGTTTTTGTATTTGATGTAATAAACTTGTATGTTTAGCATTATCTTTTAAAACAAAATTTAATTTTTTTTTGGAAAAAAGTACTTTTTGGTTATTATAAAGTTCAATAATTATAAAATGATTAATTCCTAATTTGAATGAGGAATTTTCCGCTCACACTTCCCTCAAGAAAATTCAATGATATGATATTATCTTTTGCTTTCTTTCGAAACATCAGCGAGGTTAAAACTGCACAATTTCGAACAGTAAAAGGATAAAATTACTCCAAATTAAATAGTAAAGGGATAAATTAACCCAAATGAAGAAAACAGATAATTGAGTTGAGAGGGGTATTTTGGGACCTTTAGGTAATAGTAGGACTTTTTTTGTTCCAATAGAATAACGAAGGGTGATGTAAATCTTTTCGAATAATAGGGGGGGATAAATTTGGGCCCTTTCTCTTCTTAAAATACATATCCAATCAAAATAACCAAAGCGTATATAAACTGATTTAAGCACCATTAGTATATAAAAAAAACTATATTTCTTCCGTGAAGAAAGATAGTTGAAAGACATTATAAATAAGGGGATTGATATAGAAGAAGAATTCATTTCATTTGATGTAACCTCTGGTTGTTTAAAGATTAGCACATACAAATGAAAAAGAATTTTACGTTTACTCTCAGTATCTCTTTCTTCTCGTTGAGGTTAATTACGCTTGAGCTAGTGCAAATCTCAAATAGGAATTCCAAGTCAAAAGAATTTTGTCTTTTTATAATCATTCTTGATTCTGAAAGCAAAGATATGAAACACGTGCAGAAAGTGGTGAAGTAGATGGCAATCACAGTCCCATTGGCGACACTCTTTTTTTGCATTCTCTATGGTCCTAATATTTTTACATTATTACAATTCTACACAAGTGAATCCGTTAAAACATAGACTACGATACGATGTTTTCTTTATATAACCGGCTCGTCAATTATTATTTTAACATTTTCTTCCTAATAGAATATGCATGTCCTGCCAAATACCTTCATTTAAAACGAAAGAAAGCTAACGAATGAACTTAGCTTACAAATAGGGATAATTGTAAATGAGAATAAGGGCCAAAAAAAGAAGGGAAAAACCTCATCAATTTACTAAAAGCAATATACCGTATTTCAATCATAAGAAACATCACTGCCCATTACACAAAATAGAATTTCAATGGTTTAAGATAACATCAATTCTCAGATTTGGAGATCTGGAGAACATTTTGCCAACACCTCCTATTCTACCCTGCCATCTTCCTCGGACATGCCATCCCCTCCATGCCTGTAAATAAATTTAATACAAAGTTGAGATATGACTGCATTTTCTAGAAAGTACGACCAATCTAAAGTGCAATAGAACTGAATTTTCAACACAATTCTTCAGCGGGATAACAAGAACAATAAAGAGTCGAGCAACAGGAATAACTAGAGTACATATGTTTTTTTCACATAAATGGAACCGCTCATCAGCTGTCGTAGGTCATCACTAATTACTATATTCTTGGTTACTTTGCCCTCGTCTTGTATAACACAAACTTGATGTAGTAGAGTGGGAGCACTTCCCCAAGCGCAGTGATCTCATTGATGCCAAAGCACAATCATTAAAAGAATAAAGGAAGGTCTCCTTCCTTCTCATTATCAAAAAAGGAAGGTCTCCTCTTTCTCTTACTAGAGTGATGAAAACCTTTCCGCTTTGTATCCAGTTTGACATGGTATGTCAGTGAGTCAGTCTTTAGATGATTATCATTTTATTTATTTAATTATTTTGATAGAGTGTCGTTAAATGTATATGATAATGGAGCTTTCATGTATAATCATCACAGCAAGAAGAACAGTGACAGCCTAAGTCCTGCTCATTCTCAATTCGTGTAGGACTCTGTTTGTTCATTCCTGGAACTGATGCCCTAACTTAGTTTAGAAAGGGGCTACAAATATGCTGAAATGGTAGCACACTAGTCTATTGATATATGAATAGGTAGCTAAAACTTCAATCCTCCAGCTGATGAAAGTCTAACAAGGGTGCCTGGAAATTGGTAGTTCTTTACGTACATCACCAGTGAACAAGAATCCATCATCGACCAACAGGTCCTCAAGTTATGGACGCTTGCTGTCTAATGAAGTTTGATCTTTCCATCACAAATTTGACCTTCTCTGACCAAAGAAGAGCTAGCTACAGACCAACTTTTACCGTACCATACAGAAATATAGTTAGCTTGTTCTTACCTTCTGATTAGTTAAGAACCACAGTACTACAATTAGACACTTTTCTTTTTTGAGCAAGCATAAGACATATCAACTCAACTCAAGCACTCAACAATCTAGTTACCTGTTAAATATGACCTGATTGTTCACATAAAAAAGCAGCTAGTTCAATATGTAGCTGAGGGAAACATAGAACACATAATATGCCTCATTTCTTTGAAGAAAAGGATGACACCTAAATATAGTTGGATGTTTCTTCTATAGTCCGTTTTGGTGTAATCTATCAAAATTTCTTTTACGCAGACAATTCACACGTTTAAATATAGAGTTCTCTATAAGTAGCATAAAAATATAAAATCCACACTTGATGGGAAACATGGGTAAAATTTCTTTCAGCCCACCAGCTCAAAGGTACTCTCTAGTCTACTTTTGCTACAAAATGACATCTATGCAATTAGCACCAGCCTTAGTGGAAGAAATAAGGTTGTCATTCTTTAACCTTACCGACCAGTCACAAGTGATGTATCTTATAACAGCCACATCTAAAACTAAATAAACCATCCAGGACTAACATTCTAGTTCTCAAACGCTTACCGCCAGGAAGTTGTAAGGTTCCGAGCTTTTCTGTCCAACTGAAGGTTTTCCAAGGCAGATGAAGCACGACTTACATCTTCTGCAAGTTCATCGTTGTCATATCTCCAATTGTATTCATCCTTCCTGTACCCAGGTATTGACGAACCTGCTCTTCTATCTAACCATCTCAACCATATGAAAAAGGTTACGTATTTATCCAGGAACTAATATAAATAAAGCAGGTAGACTACTAACCAGATGACTGGGCAGCAGGACCTGGCCTGTGGAATGAGATGGTCCCAAGTCAAAATCTTAAATCCAAGAAAGAAAAATAACTAAACAAATTAACACAACAAAAGATACTATAATAGAGTCATATATGTAAACCTTCCCAATGGAGGTAAGCCCCCAGCAACTGAAGATGAAGAAGGCCTCCTCATGTTCCTTGTTTCTACATTGGAAAGAGATTCAGCATCTGCTATTGTCAATCTCCTCCCAGCACCCCTTCCTTGAGATAAGTTCTGCAAAATAGATTTTAAAAGCTTGACTTTAAAGCTAATTCCTACTAGATAGAATTGTATAGTTACCACAGCCAATTTGAATGCAGGAAAATGTAAACTGCAAATGCTATAACCATCATCTAATGGAATTGCATAGGCATTTTAAAGCCTCTAACTGAAACCTGGAACAGGAGACTGTTAACCACAAGAAAACGCAATGTAGATCCAAAACCAGAACAATAATCATTTTCTACCAGTGCAAGTTACATTTACTAACATTGACACACTTGTGTACACTTGGAAATTTTTAAACCAGCAATACCCAGAGCATAAAAAGCTTTTTACTAAGTCAATCGCATGCGAGGAAGGTTAAAGGTTCAAACACATGCCCCTGGTATTGATTGCACAAGTGGATATACCTCATGGAACAAAGACAAGAAAGAAGTGTTTGAAGCAGAACAAAGAAACAAATTGTGCAGAACAAATAAGCTTAGTGTGATTCATTATCCTATTGGTCAGTATCACTAGTAAATCATAAGAACTATCCCAATTGGGTCTTGATACTTTCAGACTGTAGGACCACCTATTTGGCAACATGACAATAACTTCATAATTTTTGTTTTCATCCTCCTCTATTATTTGCTTTATGAGACCTCTGCCGTAAAATTCTGTGGTTCTACATGTTTCCAGGCTGGCAACCTACTCCCACCCCCCCACCCCAAAACCAAAGATCACATTTGGTCATAGTTCTTCATTAGTAAACAATTTATCAATCTATAGAAGAAAAAAGTACAAGGAGATTTAGTAACCACATGGCGGGAGGCCCACAACTGCATTAGGATGTTGAGACAACTAGTAACAAACTGAACAACATCTCCGTTACAGAATTCATCTTTCTCAACTTTTTTTTCTTATCAAGGATGATAATATTGTGTCCCCAACATACAAGTTTCTAGCTTAGGATTACAAATTTTAATCTTCCCACTTTCCTTTTTTTTCCTTCTTTTCTCTAATTGTAGTTTTAAAATAAACATAAAACGTCAACAGTACCATAAGCAACTGATGGATATATATCTAGAAGTTATCTAATATAAGCAGTTTTATCGAACCTCATACTTCAAAAATCCTTCGAGAACATCCAAAAGCAATGGACCACTATCCCCATTCCTGTTAAGATCATATCCATTCTTGCTGCTAAATTCTTTTAGCTCTGATTTCCAAGAATCCTTTGGCTGCAAACAAGTGACCTTTTGTAAATTGAAGTAATAATTGACATTTAAAATCATTCAGGAAAGCTGTATATTATTACCAAATTACACTCTGGCAAATAAACTTTAAGTGTGTGGTTTAGTTGAGCCCAGTCAAAATATTCACATATCAGTGCAGTTAGTAGCCTTCCTGCATGCAGAAAAGAAAAAATAGGTATCAAGGATCAGGAAAGGAAAATATATAAAATATTAACTCTTCTTTAAATACTTAAACACCTATCTCTGTGCACTGATTATAGAACTACAAGACCTGATGTGGTCAGAGGCACTTTACCATACAAGTAATATTGGTGTTCAGTGAGAAAATATCAGTGTACTATATAAAAACTCTCAAGTAACTATAGATGTTCTCCACTTTAAGGTGATTATGCAAGAGAAGTTGAAACCAAGTGCACAATCTACAACACTGTCATCAATGAATATAAAAAAATACAAACTTAGCATGACCATTAAAGCATTTGACCAAGCAATCAAGTATGATATCCTCATACTCGTGCAAAAGATGCTAGTTTCTGCATCATAATGAACGAAGAAGTCAATAATAGACTTAGGACAGAAATGAGCTAGGGAGATGCTTATGTCCTTTTCTATGACAACTAAAAACCAAAGCAGGGAAAGACCTCGTCCAAGAGCCAGAAAAAAAATGGAAAGAGAGAATGCACAGATTTACTTATTTATATTTGTTCTTTTACAAGTGCACACAGTTCCCTGACTCAAAATACTAAAGTCGATACAGTTGACTATTCATCACTTAATCTCTTTTCTGTATAGGGTAAAATTGACTATTTATATCCATACTTATCAAATACTATTTCATTTTTTTAATAAAAAACATAGACTATTTATCACTTAATAGATCTAGGAATTGACAATATTCAACTTAATAAAATATCAATTGCAAGCAGAATTACTCCAAGTATCCAAAAGAACTAGTCATCTTTTGACTAGGGACATTGATTAAGAGAAGAGATAAATATGTAATTGTTTCATATTGGTCATAGCACCTTGAGGTGGTGGCGTAGTGATTAATGAAGTGGGTGCTAACCTCGGAGATCAAGGTTCAGATCCCAGCAAAAAATAGATGATTTCTTCCCATCTACCTAAGCGTTGGCGGGGAGAGCTACCCGGTATCTGTGCTGGTGAGAGGTTGTAGGTACCCGATGATATAACAAAGGTGCGAAAGCTGGCCCGGACACCAGAACTATTAAAAAAAATGGTCGGGAGCATGAAGGACTATATCTCGACTTTTGTGTCTTTTTAACTTGTTTTTTGTTGTTAGTTAATAGAATAGTTCTGCTTATATAAAAATAAAAATGAGCATAGAGACAGATGAGAGTAAGTGTTATGTTCCAAAATGTGTGCATTAACAAATTCAACTTGTGCAACCATGATAAGTTAGATTATCGCTTTATGACGTGGAATCAAAAACCCAACCTTCACGCCCATAAGTTTGTAAAGAGACTCAAGAACCAAATTCATTCTAACAGTAAATAGACTCAAGAACCAAATTCATTCCAAGTCCCGTTGCAGTTGGAAGATAAAAAGTTCACAAGGTTCAAATTGAGGTCACAACATCATGAAGAATTCAAATATATTTTATCTATAACTTTTCCTGATAAATGATTTTTTTTTGAAAGGTTAACTAGTATTGATGTCAAAACCAGCACTAAGAAAGTGTTGTAATTACATCCAAAAGGGAGTTCCTGGATGAATGATACTCTCTAGAATTTTTCGAAGGGTTCGAAAAAGGAGCATTTAGTCCTATGTATTTCAAATCTACAGGTCAGATCCTATGCACCCATCTAGTTATACCAAAAATAATTTGACTTCTATAAAGAAACTGATAGTATATGTATTTAAGACATAACCTAGAATTTGTTTCAAATGACACAGAAGAGATGTTATTCGAATTTTCAAATTCAAAATCTGCTGTCCTTAAATAGTTACATTCAAATGCTTCCAACCAAAGTCCAAAAAAATCTGATGGCTTCCTTCTCAGCTGGTTCTAGATGATTTTCATAAGGTTCGATGATCTTATTAACCACAAGATACAAACTTCATGTAGCATCAAGTTCCAGGTTATAGTGTTTCACAAAAGATTAAAATTCAGAACCATAATTCTTAGAAAGTAACCTGAAAGAAACATAAATCATTGGCAACAGAAAGTGTTTTTGCATCTCCAATTCAGATTTAGGTTGGACTTGATTTGATCAGGTAGGCAGGTTCTCACAATAGATTCTAAAAGACTAGTGCAGATATCTTGATTGAACAGTTAAACAGCATACATATAAGTACATAGAACAAACTCAATCCATCACAATATTTTGACAGTTGCATGGGCACAACAATACTCTCCAGAGTACACACGATACTGAACACTCAGCTTTCAGATATATATAACTGAAGTTTAATAAATTTTCCATACAACAAGTTAGTAGCCGTCCTCCTACACCAAAGAATTTGGCAAGGATTCATAAAGGGTTAAAAAACCAAAAAGATTAAAACAAGTAACTGAGAACCTGAAGGGGAATTATGGAGTTGTTTTGCGCGCTCATTGCAGCTACCCAGTAGTGCAGGAGGCAAGGCTTCATCCTTCTCAATTGCCCTATCCTCCTCTTCTATCGCCTCAAAAACGCTTGCTCTAAGTTCAGCCTAAGAAATGTAGCCACGTAAATTGTGTAAATATATTGTGGATCAACCAGGATTGCACTGTATATCAACAAAAGAGAATCTGAAGAAGGTTCACATGTGACAACGATGTTTTGTTTCAATAAACAAGATCATCAGGTTTTATTTGCTAATAAATAATTTCTCTTTACCATAAAACGACAAAAGATTCTGTATTAATACAAATCCAACATGGTAAAAGTAGCTAACATTTGTTTTCAGCTTTTTTCTGATACACTTCCTCTGTCATAGTAGTAACAAGTAGCTCGTATGAGTGAAAAGCAAGTCAAACTTTTTATGGGCCATGTTTTCAGGCATACATTGAAACCGCTGGTTTCAATTTGAGTTTCTTAAATATTTTTATAAGCTGCTCACATGACCATTAGGAAATTCTACTTCAATATTTTTTGTGTACTCTACTTAGCCATTCCGCTATGAACTTTTGCCAGGATCAACTAATAAGTCATATATTAGATTGTAAACCTCTTTTGATTATTATTTTTTGTATCATTCATCTTACCAGTAACACTGTAATTTCCTTATCATTAATTTATAACTACAAGTACTTATATGGCTTTCTAATTAGCAGAGAAACACAATTATGCATTCATTTCTCTTGGTTTTCTAGAAGCATATACAAGTTGCTGCTTCATGCAATCTTATCTTACAGTTTATGCTAATAGAATTTTAGATGACATTCCCAAAATTATATCATTCATTGTTATTTCCTTTTGCTGCTCTCAATCAATGTCTCGATCCTTCACAATTCATCAGCATAAATTTCTCATTTCATAGTCCAAAGAGTTTCAAAATTTTAACCCCTAAATCACCCTCAAGTCTACTAGGTTTACTGTTGTCTGTTCTCATATTAATTTTCACATCATGCAACTATCCGGACTTTTCTCTACTTGTCCTGTTTTCCCTGGGTTGCGAGGGGCGGCCCGTTCGTCCAGGAAGGGGAAGGCATGGTGGGGAATGAACCTTACACGTCTAGGATACAAGGTAGCAATTCTAGCGGTAGGTTGCCCTTTAATCCTCATTGTCCTGCATATGCCAATCTTTATCCTAGACGTTTGAGCCTTTTTTAAGGTTTAACCTCTTCAAAGCCATTAATTTGCACTCGTTCAAGATACACCCTTGACTGAGCAGCGGAGGCAAAACACTAGGTGATTTCTTCTTGTCTGTCCAAGTCTTGACTGACATAATTACCTAGTACCTGAGCTGGTGGGAGTTAGCAAATACCCGATGGAATTATTCGAGGTGCGCACAAGCTGTCCCCGATACCACAGTTATAAAAAATTAATAAAGAGATTTAGTCACCCCTAACTGAGCACAATAATATCCTATTCTTTTGCTCCCAACTTTGGGATTTAGATCCCTCAGTGATTCATCTGCCTGAGCCCCAATAAACCTAAAAGGTAGGGTGAGCATCAAAGGACATATGCTCTTTCTAGATAAGTTATGCATAATTTGTTCAACGAAAATGCAAGTGAAGGAAAAAAGCATGCATGCTTCAACCCGTCAAAATTTTAATATTTAGCTCCTTGAAGATGCATAAAACAGTTAAAGCAATTAAGTTAAAAACAAGGTATTCATTTCTACACATTAAATCACTTAAACTATGCTTTGCATTACCCAGATATTGTATAAGCTGGTGACACCTTCTTGTGTTCCCTTATACACAACTTTTTGCAACCAAAAATTTTAAAGTTAAGACTTAAAATTCACAAAGATTCAATTTTTCAGTTTCTATTTTCTAGCCAAGAAACGATGGAAATTAGCTATTCATGACCCCAATTTTCAGAACAGGAAAAATTAGATATAATGAATCAAGAAATATCTAATTACAGCTTCGTCGGCAAGCCCAAGCCATACCCAGAAAAGAAAAATGTACAAAATTTGGAAGCACATAACACGTAACCACTCGATCTGATTGAGAAGAAAATTCGCAAAAAAAGAAAAATGAAAATGCAGAAGAGAAGAATTGTTTGTTCATACTCGGATCTTGGCAAGGACGCCTTTCTTCTCTAGGGTTCGGGTGACGAGGGTTTTGAGGTCCATCATTTCTCTTGTATAATCGTCCATTTTCAACTCTGTACGGAAACTAGAATTAGAGATGTTTGATATTTTTCAGATGGTTTCTCTTCTCATTGAAGGGCCTGTGCGATTATTGCAGATTGTTTTTGAAATGAGATGTTTAATAAAGTTGATGACTTGATGGGTGTGGGGCCCGTATGAAAGTGACATTACGGTTTTTGTAAATTAAGACTAGACTAGATCCTAATGTTGACGGTAGGTCTAAATAAAGTAAAAGAAACTTCGAGCGGTTCTATGTTTGAGTTGTTCAAAACACTACGAGACAACATGAGTGAATGATATGCCTTATCCTGAAGGCTAATATAACATGAGTGATGGTAATTTGAACGAAACTTGTTAAACGTTTGCATTTTATTTTATCCCCTTTATGGATTGTAATGTGCCTGTTTTCTAATGACAAAATTACATAATAATACACTCCACTCCACAAGTTGACCTTCCATTATTTTAGCTCACTTACAAGTTTGTAAATGTGTAGCCAAATATCAATAAGCTTAGATCTCAATTTTTTTCTAGTTTTTTTATTCTCTATATCTTCAAGCGTGAAATATTTCCATTCTCCTTTTTCCTCAAGTTTCTACATACCTATCACAACTACGAAAATTCACAAACAGACGCGAGAAATCTAAAATCTCATCTTCTTTAATGCTAATCTTGTTAGTTTTTTAATATGATTTTATGGGAAATTTGGAGTGTGTATTGTTTGAACTTATTAAAATTAGTCTAAGTAGACTGTATACAAAGTTTGAAGTCATTTAGTGGAGATTTGGAATAGTCTTAATCAAGAATTGCAAGTGAAAATCGTACAAAAAATTCGTCAGAGATGCTTATACACTTTTATACAATATTATACACTTTGATACAAAGAAGTATATTATATATATAGTTGTATAAAAGTGTATAAAAATGTATAAGCACAGTAGTGAAAATGTTAGTGATACACCATGTATATAGGTGTAGCAGTTGAAGAAGAAGAAGAAGAAGAAGAAGAAGAAGAAGAAGAAGAAGAAGAAGAAGAAGAAGAAGAAGAAATATGAGAAATCCACCAAATACCTGTAAATAATGTATCAACCTTGTATAAAATAATGTATAAGAGGTGTTTATACACTATTATACATTACTTATACAATATTATACACTATTATACAAATGAACTCTATTAATGGAGTTTCACTGGTTCTTCTTCTTCTTTGGGCATCTTCTAAAATTCAACTCAAATCTACCTCAAATCTGCTCCAAATCACTTTAAATTTGAGTTTTGAACTCCCGTCACCCCTTGACGATCCCAATCAATTGGGCCAACACCCAATCCAAACAACTAACAAAATCGAAAAATCTAATTTCTGAAATTGAAGCTCCGAATGACCCTTTAATGGTGACTCCAAAAATAATAATTCTCTTAAGTGGTATTTTTTCTTCTCATCTTAATAGTGATTATCAATTTTGAATCTAGAAGGAGAATTGAAGAATATATATAATGGTAGAGAAATTTTGGGGTGCAAAGTCGTGAAAGAGGAAGAAGAAGAATGAAGAAAAGAAAAAAATAGGGTAGGCTAATTGGTGAAAAATAATTTTCAGATTATGTACAACCTGGGCCATATCAGGTAAGGGCTTCAAATGTGGACCATTTTTTGATGGACTGTTGGGCCAAGTGACAAGGAGCGTAATTTCCCCTTTTCTAATTGAGCACCCAACAACCCTCTATTTTAAGAAGTGCCAACTATTATGAGTTCGGAACCTAAATGTTATATTTTTGAACTCAAAATATATAAATAAGTGGAAAAAAATTTAGTAATTAAAATATATAAAACACAGTTTTGAACCACGCTTTAAGGTAAAACTCATTTCAAAACTGCGTTTTATCTAAGTTTTGCATTCAAAACTACCAGCTTTAAAAGAAGAAGATTATATGAGTTGAAAAGGCTGCAAGCCAAAGACTTTATTACTTTTTAGCATTCAGTGAGAGTTTCGAGTAGGCTTTATATATAGGACTAGAATATATAACAAAATTGTAAAATATTAAGAAGAATTTTCTCTATCTATATTTTAGTCTAAAAGAAAAATTAAGTTGGTGCTTGAAGTTCTAGTGACATGTCGGGCTATTAGGGAGTTGTATTTTTTTCTTGAGATTTGAGAGAAAGAGAAAAGAGTTGGTTATGGAGTTTGGAGAGGAGTTAAGTACTCATCTCACCTTATGGAAGTTTGGAACTCAGAGATAATCTATCTATATATATCTATATCTATTTATAATATATTAAAAGTACGAAAGTCCTTAGCGAAATGTTATTTGCAATTTTTTACTCTTTAAAATTATCTTTCACATTAAACAAAATAATTATTTAATTATTTTTTTAATATTTAGGACTTTAAAATCCACTAGATTTTGATTATTATATATTTCCTTATTGAATTAGATCCTAATATTTAAGAAATTCACGTGACTAATTTACCTCAAATAAGGAAAGGATTCCCTTTGTTTTAAAACAGTATTATCCAAATATTCTATGTTAGTCTATGTAATATGTATACACGAACTTCATTTTACGTAGTTACTATAAATTTGATAATTAAGCATAAAATAATATGCTTTATAATATAACAACGCATATTATATTTATAATACATGTCTTTAGTTTTAATATTATTACGAAATTATAGTTAATTAATATATATTTTCATCTTTTTATCACTTAATCGTGATAAATTAGTATAGTTTAGTCTTTGTATATTGATAGATAATTTTTTTTTTTTAAATATATTCACCTTGATTGAGAACTTCTTTGTGGAACTATTTGCCCTTATTGAGTTCAATATTCTTCATTTTCAGCAGTTACACTTTAATTTTATAATTCAAACATAATTTAAATAAAATATTTATATAGTTTTTTTTTTTAAACTTTTTACTCATTAGACAAGGTACACGCGCAAGGCGCGTACCCTAAAACTAGTTATTATAAAAACACGAATAATCTATGCTAAATGTTGAACGACTAAAATATCCCTCAAACATTGATCGACTTTTATGCCCTTAAATATGAATATAATTTAAGAATATAATCGTAAATCACCTAAGGCTTGAACTCTTTTTCGATTTAAATTAAACCACTCATACGCTTGGGTCAAATACTGTTGGGACATCTTGAACATAACCTACTAAGGCTACAAAATTGATTGTCTAATACTGATTGAATTTTATATTGTATCCGGAGTATTCTAAGTTTTTCCATATATTTTACCCTTAATAAACTTTGTCCTTTCCTGATTATATTGAAACATATATATTTTCTCATGACCAAAAAAACGTGTATTCGCATTTTTCTAACCTATTCAAAGTTGGGAAGCACATAACTTTGAATTAATTGACTAAGAATTTCAATTGTTTCGGGTTTAAAGTGTTAGAATATACTATAAGCCATGCGTATTGTTATAGTATACTTTATGAACAATTATTTATTTACTTGTTTAAATTCAATAAAGTTTCATTTTAAATAGATCATGTGTTGGTTTGTGCGTCCATTGCTTACATAGTAGATGATTTAGTGTATAGAGTTTAGCTTATACACGGAAGATTAAATCATCGGTTCTTGTAAGACATAAAAGTTAATGTTCACAATCTAATGATGGAATTGGACAAATCATCGGAATGATTGTAGCACAAGATTAAATATAATTTATCTTGATTATGGGAATGGTTTAATTCCAACTTCTTGTGCTAGTACATTTTGTATGTATTGAACGGATCAAGTAGAGATGAGTATTTTATACTGACTTTATAAAATAATTTCTCTAGTCCATTTAATGTACTTATACTCTTAATCCTGATATAATTATTATTAGCTGTGTATGTCACTTGTTGTTTTGATTTATTAAAAGGCGAGATTCTTTCGCGAGTCAATAAGCCTGGTAAATTGGATAACAATGATATACATTGGCGAAGTAATAATTAGTTGATGGAATCCATGTCTCAATTTTGAGATTGATGATACTCCTTTATGAAAGCTTATAAGTTTTCATGTGTAAACCCGGCCGGTGGATTTTGTATCCGACACATGAAATAAGTTAAGTGTAAGTCTAAAGGAAGTAATCAATAAATTAAATAGTCAGTAATTTAATTTGATTGATTAGTATCTGAATCTTAACATGGGGAGTTAAATAAGGTTTTATGGAAGAATTTCGAAATTGAACTAAGGAGTGCAATTACGAATTTTTAGTGGAATAATTCGTAATTTATTATGATGGAAATTAGTTTCAGAATTTCGAAATTAATATCATAATAGGAAGCCTTGTTAATTAAATTCTGTGGTCCCTACTGTGCCTAAATAATAGAAAATAGTGGAAACTGTTACTTAGTGGGAAAGAAAACGTGGAAACCGTCCCTTAGTGGGAGAAGGAAACCTAACAGGTTTTGAAAACGGTTTTGACCTAAAAAACGCAGCTATATATATGGATATAAGGGCTGGACGTTTTTTACATGATTCTGACTGCGGTTTCTACTAGAATTTTGCCCACCCAAAATTCTTTTTTTTCGGTTATTGTTTGGGTAACACAGTAGAAGACTGTGGAAATCTGCTAGTGTGTTTTCAACTGAGGAACTGGAGAACGACCTAGATTTGTTGTGTTTACGCTTCAAGAGGTAATCCTAAAATCTCCATACGTGCTAGTTGTTTAGATTACATGTGAATAAGATTCTGTTATTGCTTCCGCTGTGGTATATATTCCATCAATTGGTATCAGAGCTTACTCACGTCTAATTAAATAATTAGGATAAACCATAAGGATTAATATCATGTTCTATATGCAAGTTTTGAATTACATGCAAAGTTTGTTTTTCTGAAAACCTGCACTGTTTTTTTTGGTGTGATTATCTGTTATGGGTTGTGTTGATTATTCTGAAAACTTGATGTATCCTTTTAATATTGGTGATGTTGAGTTAGAATAATCTGAAAATTGAATTTTATCATGTAAAACGGAAAAACACGTTTTGCTGAATTAGGGCAGAAAATCGGAGGTCAAAAAGTTGACGGACTCCGATTGACCTGAAACTTGGCAGGTCCATGCGAAACGGCCCAGTGAGCAATACTCATGGATTTCATACATGACTGAAGTCGTTTTTGGGGCGTTCGGGGTCGTTTA